GATCACGTGTGTATCTACCACCTAGATTCATCAAATGTAAACATTTGGGACAATGCCAGAGTTAATCTGTTATGCACATTTCTGAAAAAGAATATCTGCCTTGTTGAAGACTCACTTTCTTATCCATGCTGTAAAACCTTTCACAGCCCTCCATTCTCTCCTTTCCCCACTATTTCTTTTGGCTTGGAGTTCTACATTCTCTTCCTTCCATCACGGGGAGGGGGTGGGGGTCAGGGGTTAGCAGCCTTCTAGCCAAAGCTATTCTGAGACTCCTAATTGCATTGGTGGAGTTGGTGCAAAAGTGAGGTAGTAGGAAGTGGGAAACCAGATGGAGAGCAATACTATTGGGAAGTCTGGGCTCTCAGGGTCAGAGATATAGCACACTCAGAATGAGTTTTTTGCTAGAAACAATGTGACTGAAGAAAGCTCAGTGTGTTTTTGTGCCTGGTACATGGTTTCCCTGAGAAAATGTATCAAGTTCTAAGCAACTAATTTATACCTGGATTTTGAGAACATTAGCCTACTTCCAGTTGCCATCAGCCAGTATTATAATTATTTAGTTAAAAAATATTGCATTCTATTTTAAACTTGTTTTCACATGACATAATCATAATTATTCCTCAGGCAACTTTTTAAAAGAAAGATAACATTAACTACCAATAGCATTTTCATTTCCTTCCTTGTATAAATATCTCAATTAAAGTTTTCCATTCCAATCTTTGTCCTTGTAACTGCATTATACATATCATTTGGGGATTTGAAATTGAGAAATCCACATCTAAGAACCTTGAAGATTTCAGTCAAAACACATTTGTTTTTCATGATAATTTAATCAAAGGACAGCTAATAGGAAATATATTTCCTTTTAGTTCTTTTATCATTTGACTTCATTCTTATAACTCATGTTCATTTTGGGGGTGCTTACTTAAAATACTAAATAAAGTCTCAGTTTTATATAAAAGTTGTCCAATTTCTTCCACATATGGATTTTATAGTTTGGCAATTGATAGACATGATATATTCACTACTGAAGCACAATCTAACCATAAAAAATATTTTTTTTAAAGAAGGGATACACAGACAAATTACATAGAAAATTTTCGTTGTGTATCTTTAGGTTATATTTGTTGACAAAAAACAATGAATGTATCATTACGTGAATAAACTAGAGCTTTGTCTAAAGCAACAGGAAAAGAGCTAGATGTTGAGTCTTTTGTTAACTAGAACTTCTTAATGGCATGTTCTTCAGGGCATAAAAGAATCAAGATATCTCTTGGCACCCTTCAACTATGTTCTGGTTTGCTGCTCCCAAGAATACTCTGGCTGCCATTTTCACCTGGGGAAGTGCCAGGGGAAAGACCAGCTGCTCATATTTAGGCCTTTGTATCTATGACTCCCATATCCAATTCTGGCTCATTTTCCCTATTTTCTATACACTTGGGGAGTAGGATGTCAAGTATACACACCCTGCTCCAGTATTCTACCAGTCATCATCCTTGGCTCATGCCCATTTTGGTACCATCTGCTTGGGGACACAGAGGATAATAATAAGAGCTTCTACTTATTGAGTGCCTGCTGTGAACTATGTATTTACATCTCTAGTTTCAAATTCTCACTGAATCCTGTATGGATGCTATCAGATCCATTTTTAAACATCTGGAAAGTAAAGCTTAGCAAAGTTAAAAAAACAAACAAACAAACAAACAAAACCTTTCTAGGGTTATCTGATGCTGGGTTTATATTTGGGCCTTTCCTCCTTGCCATCAGTGGAAGATTTTCTCTTGGAGAAATATGTTAGCATCGTCTTTGATTGACTCTCCACTTTCCATAACAGCCCTCCCTGGAGAGCTGCTCTCCTACACTCATCCCAGACTGGTGTCCTGAATTTCCCACAGTGATTTGGCCCTTACATTGAATTTTCTGGCTTCTTGTCTGTTAGACTCAACTGATATCTTAAAATATCTGATTAATACTTAATACTGTTGGCAGGTTAGAATCATATTTTAAAAAGGAAAGTGTATTTTAATACAACTTTCTGAATCCACTCATTGAGAGAACATATTTTTCCCATGTTAAACAGACAAACTGGACAAAAAAAAAAAATGACCACCTGTTAGTTGCTAATGATGTTCACATGCTTTTTAAAAAAGTAATTCTGGCTTTATCTTCCTACAATCTTGGCGACAAAACTCGTGGGAACATCAAGGGCACAGGAAGCCAAAGGCAGCAAACTGACAATAAAGTTTGTGCTTCGACTACTAATGAGGAAGAGGATACTGTGAATATCTGATTCCACATAATTATTTAATCTCCAGAGGGTGACAAAAAATCAAAAGCAGGTTGTAAGAAATCTAAGTTTGGGTGTTCAAATCTAGGACCAAGATCAGAGGGGCTTCAGACAGGCTATTTCCTACTTGAAAAAAATATCTTTAGAATCATCAAGTATAAAATGCACCAATCTCAAACATATAGTCTAATTTGACATTGTATGGGTGAGTAAATCAATACGCCTTTAGTGAAAATGAACACACACATATGGACTGAACTTATTTTTTTTTAAATCGATCAATACTAACTATTGTATCTTGCAAAAAACATGCTAACCCTAAATAAGGCTTACAATTATACATATCTACCAAGATTCAGAAACCAAGCATTTTCTAAAATCAGGGCTAGCATTAAAGATTAAATGACTATTTATTTTAATAGTAAAATCAAATTAAGAAGAGAACATTTGATCTTAATTCTTTTTTAATAAGTTTTTGGGTCTTGCCTTTAAGTCTACTGATTTCTATGGGTCATTTTAAAAAGTATTTAATGTATTCATTTCCATCCAAGTTGAAAATTGATAGAGATTTAGCTTACTATATATTTTTTCACATGGTATCTTGGTTAAAATCACAAGTTCTAAAAGCAGATTGTTTGGGTTTGAAACAAGTCTTGATAACTTGTCTTCATACATAATACCTTAGTTTTCCAAGCCTCCATTTCCTCATCCATAAAAGAGGATGATGTTGAAGAGCTAAATGCTGATTTTTTTCATTAACTAAAACTTCTAATCATAGTATCTGTCATAAAGTTAGGGGGAACCTTAAATGAGACTATGTAAGACAAGCACTTAGAACAACTACTAGATAGCAAGTGCAAAACATTTTCTAGTTATAACTGGCTTTTAAATTTCAAAGTAAAAGGTAAATGTGGCATCCTTGTACAATTAGGTATATCATAAAACAAATAGAATAAATAATGTGTCTTTTCTCCTTAGGCAGGATTGAATTTCAGAGAGAATAACTATCTTTCTCAAAGAAAAATAAATTCTAAAGAGAAGTAGCAGGTATTCTATCCATAGAATTCCTGCCCCCCACCCCAGTAGTATACTAAAACTTGTTTAAAAGAGATTCTGCCCAATACAGAATCTGTTAGCCTCGATAGTTCTAAAATACATTTTTGCACACCTTTATTTTCTCCCTAATTTCAGGCTTCAGAAGCATGTCAAGGTCTCTTTCAAATCCCAGATCAACTAATAACTGTAACACATATCCTTTTTCTATTTACTACAAAATATTTATGTAGTTAATATTAAATATGCACTCACAACTGAATTTTAATTTTGATATCTTACCTTATATCAGATTCCATATGAATTAAAATGGTTTAATAACCAGCAGTTAAAGGAAATGTTCTTTAAATGAAATAACTCTAAACTTTAACATCATATGGAAAAAATCTTTAAATATGGCATTGTTAACTCTCCACAAACCTTCCACATCATGTGTTTTCTAGCCATTAATACTGATCATTTTAAACTCCAACTAGCACAACTGGCTAACTAAATATGTATATGATATTTGTTGAAAATTATGGTATGTATTGGTGGGTATAGCTCAGTGGTAGAGTTTGTGCCTAGTATGTTTGAGGCCCTGGGTTCAATACCCAGTACCAAAAAGAGACAATTATGTGGGTCTTTGAATAATGAATTAATTTCAAAAGGGTACTTATGCTCAAAATTCTTATATAATTTATAGATTTGTGGTTCTCAAAATTCAGTTCTGGAAGATATGCTATCATGTATATATCACACACATACTTATAGTTGTCTAGCATCATACTTATTCACATGTACATTCTCAACTTACTGAGGCATCCTTAAATTTGAAGTTAGGATGTAACTAAACTGATATTTGGTCAGAGAGAACTGTCCCAAAATGTGGTGAATCAGAAGATTAAGATAGGAATGTAGAGGATCCAAGAAAGATGCTATAGTTTTAAGACATTGTTAAATGGGTTTTCTATGACTTTAAAAATATCTACTTGTTTTTGCAGAAGGTTGAGACTCAAACCAAGTCATTGAAATAAAGTGACATGCTTTAATAGTGCACTTTTATTAAAGAAGCAGTAGGCTTGGAAAAGATCTATAAAAGTACTGAGGTTTACTATGTAAGTGGTATAAGTTCTTTGTAGTCCAAATTCAATTACTTTAGAATAGCAGACCTAGTATGACCTGGGAAAACTACTAATTCACATCCCATATTTTCTATCAACCTCTGGAATGTGCATTTCTAAATCTTTCTGGTGGTCTGAAAATGTGCAAAGTTGCATAGCCTGTTGGCTTAAGTTGGCCCAACTGTGGTGGTCACTCATACCTTTTAATGTATGGAAATCAAATATTCAGCATTCCAAGGTTTGGAGACGCTTGACATTTCCCACTCTCAAAATCAATCACCAACCTGAACTCCATGGCTATTACTCAGAGATTCAGAGGTTTGCTGTAAGCAGAGACCATGACCTTGGAATAATTATTTTCTCAAAAGGCATTACCAACAATGATGTGAGCAAAGTGCCCAGACTGCCCTCCAGTGCATGAATCCCTAGCCAAGAAGTGGCTACGAATCTTCCATGAGAAGTATGAGTTTGGCTTAAATTTGATTTCCATGCATTTATATTTCATAAGCACTGCATTTAGACAAAGTTAAAATGAACAAGTCAGAGAAAGTACTCACTTAAAGATTTTCTGTGTTCTGGTTTCTGGTCTTTCACATCACTATCATAATGACTTAGCAATTCAGTACTGGAGGATCTCTGCATTTTGAATAATTCCAGGTTTCTTGATGGACAACTTGGATCCCTTGGCTGGAAACAGTAAGCAATTAGACTCAATAATTTTAATATGAAGAAAGGATTCACTAAAGAGTTTTGTTTCTATTTTGATGTTAGATTTAAAGGAATGTTTGAAATATGGTAATTATTTTAAGATAGGTTCTCTATTCTAAGCTCTATATTAAAATTTAATAATAGATCATATATGCACATGGTGCTTACTAAATGTGCACATTATTCCAAGCATTCATGCATTAATTCAATTAATCATCACAGGAATCCAATGAGGTAGCCACCATTATTTTTACTTAATAAGAAATTGAGGCCAAAAGAGGAAATAATCTGCTCGAGGCCACACAGCTAGTAAGTGATGGAGTCAGTGTTCAAACAGGCAATTCGGGCCCAGCGTCCACTCTAAAAGACAACAACTTATGTGCTTTTTGTGTGTTTATGGGGACTATATTAATGAAGGGGGTAAGTTATTTTATTTTTAAAGTTTTGATCTCAAAGTGATAACATGAAAGACTTCAATCAAATATCAGCAAAATCACAGAGAATGTATTTTCTTATTGCACAACATACTAAAAAGTCTCAGGAATATTTTTCCCTCAAGATTTTACAAATATTAATGAGCTAAATTATAATTAGTATGGAATGAGTAGTTTTAAATAACTTGATTCTTTTAAAAACATATTCTGGTATGATTGAAGATAATTTCATGAAGTTCTAGATGTGTAATTTTCATGAGAAGAATAATATAACCTAGTTGGAAGAACAATAAAAATCAGCACAAAGGATTATTATTTACTGGTATTATAACAGGGAGTATGGCCTTAATAATATTTATTTTCCAGAATAAGTATTAGAAGCTGCATAAACTGGAAATGTAAAAACTCAGTAGTTATTAAGCGCTTGTGTGCTTTTTACAACCTCTAGTAAATGAATGTCCATGTTATTTCAGAAAAAAAAGCACTGCATTTTTGAAAGAGAGAAATTAAATGACATTTAGTCCCACAAATCCTGTCTGCTGAAAATGTTCCTAGTGGACTCTATTTAAACTTAAAAGAACTTAATATCCCTCAGTCCATATGCTCTGTTTAAATGTGAGTGTGTTATATGACTGAGCAATAAGATTTAAATGACTACATTTTAACTAATAAAGGTAACAGCCAAAACAAATACATACCAATCTGTCAATTGCATTTTTGATAGCATGGAACCAATCCAATATGATGAAGTCAATATCTGACTGTAGAAGGAACTCATTTCCTGATACTGTTGTGATCTGAAAAAAAAATATTGACAGGTGAGAAAACCATGTGAGATAGATCTCCTACATTTGAAAAAAAAAATCTTCTAAAACAGAGTTTAATACACTGAAATATTTTCTTGTCTTCCAGTAATTGTCTTTCTGGGAACTGGGAGGCTAGGATCATTTTGAAGTACTCTCTATAAACTGTTTTTTTCATGTCATAACAAATACATTATTGTTTTAATAATAGAACGATTAACTCAGAGTAGGCTAAAGCTGAATTGCTCCAACTTCAGGAGAAATAAGGCAGGAAGTCCAGAGCGATACAGACAGTGCACACTTAAGTTAGAAGTCTCAGAAAAATGTAACCGGGTGTGTCAGAATTCATTCTGCACTTCGGGCTCTTTCCTGTTTGTCTTTTTCAAATCTAATAGTATCTCTATATTTGATTTCCTTTTATGGAGGGCTCTAAAACAGATTATTTACCAAAGAGACTAATGCAGACTTTTCTAAAAGGTCATACGGATGAATACCATTAGGCTGTTTCTATTTTCCTATCATAAAGATCTATAGGAAAGTAATAAAGAGCCAATTTCCCCACAAAAGGAGTATGTTAGAATAAAAGTTCATTTACATCTTTGAACCCCTCCTAGAGGGTATTTCTCAAGTGAACATCCTGTGTCCCTTCTCTCAGTGCTGTTAAGTAGTTGGCAGTGCTTCTTAGCATGCAACTATACATTTTTCACTGCAGTAAATCTTTTTTCTCCCCAGAATTGTGACAGAAGGATGTGACCCTATAGAAACAGAGCAATGCTCTTGATTTCACACATAAAGGGCTCCTTTGAGGAGAATTTGATTAGAGTGGGTGTGGACACGCTTTTTGTATGAGGCCATCAATCTGAACTGTGAAGATTTTCCCTTTGTATTATTGACTTTTTGTTGCAAGAGGAAGATGAACATTTCCCAACTACTGTCACACATCAAGCAAGGCTTCAGAGGTTGAGAAGACTGGCATTTCAGCATACTCAATCAGGAGCCAGTCACCTCTTCTCAGCCTTACTTGCTCTAAATAGGAGGTGAATGCTGAAATGTGGCACCAGTTCAGAAAAATCACAAATCATGCTTGAGGCCATCTTTAAAACTCTATGATTAAAGTGACAATTATTACCCCAAATGGCTTACTCTGAAGTTTTCTGTGATTCTTATGGCAACATTTAAAGAGAATGTCTTGGCGTTTTTAAGAAATTTTTGATGGCACATGTGCACATATACTCATTTTTCATTTATTTTTCATAAAGAATCTATGAAGATGCGACATTACTCTGTACTGCAAAGCAGCTCTTCTTGAGTGACGTGAGTTCCCCTATCAAGCCTGGCCCCTTCTACAGTAAGAAGAGCTGTCCAAAGCATATGCAATTATAATAAGTGAAATATTAGAAAATAATAGGATTTAATTACCCACACTAGAATTTGGCAGATTACTGGGGCAAATCACTCTCTTTAAAAATAAAAATGCATTTAAGATTTGGGATGGCTCAAAATAGTCCTCTGTTTTATGTATCCAGTAAAAGACAGCTAAGCTGATGTTTGCCTAATGATCTGAACACCACTACAATATTCCTTACTTAAATAAAGTCCCGAATATTTACTTTATAAAATGTTGCCTCAGAAGGAGAAATCTAAAAATATAAGGTCATTTCTAACTAACTCAAGAAAGCTAGTAATGTCCTTGACCTCTACCTTTATCCTAAGTTTAAATATTTTGATTATGAATATACTATATGCCATAATTTGTTATTATACACAGAAATGAATTTAGTCCAAGCACAATGTACAATCTAATATAATAATTCTCTGCCAGTATAAATAAGCCATTATTAAAATTATAAAAAGGAGCAACATTTTTAAAGTACAAGAAACAAACATAATTAGATTTACTGTATTGTGAGGGTTTATGAGAGAGCCAACATAGTTCAGTTTTTGGCCTAGTAAATTCAAAGAGTGATAAAATATAAGTAGTTCAGCAATGCATTTGCATTTTTGGTGCATACTATGCAATGCAAAGGGAATCTTTTACTGGTAACACAATCAGAAGTAAATGTATTTTGAAAGTTTCTTTGTCCATGTATATTATTACATTAATCATACATAATCAGTGATTTATAAATTCATTTTGGGAAGCCAGATGAGGGAACTATACGAATGCAATTCATTCAAATCATACTGCCAGAGAAATCCAGTTCACATCCTTTCCTCTGTCTTCCCACTAATCTTTTGAGTTACTAGGCAGTCTGGAGAAGTCTGCTACTGCTCTCTACAGTTTAAATGCATCCACTTCTTAATTACACTCAGTAATTGACTTTGTTCTGCTCTATTCCAGTCACTCACAGGAAAGTAGTTTCAGAATCTCTGACTGGTAAAGTCCATTTAATTCAGGGCTTTCAATCCACATTTTTACATTACCTCTTTAGGATTTCTGATACGTGGTTTGCTGAATCATATTTGCACTTTGAACAATTGAATTTTTAACACTCTTGGGGAAAAAATGTCACTAGTAAGGAATGTGAACTTTGACTGAAACTTATGATTGACAACATATGATGACAACATAAAATGATACAGTACTAATAACAGGGATAAAGTATCTGATATTAGCTATGCTAATGTACTCTCTCTATATCATGTTTTGCTTCCATGGCAGATGCTGGAGTGAGGCAATGAAGGAAGAACTTACAGAAAACAATACGTTTAGGTAAGAGCTGCTGGTCTCCATTTTGCTTAGAAGCCTACTTTAGCAAAACGTCTTATGCCATCTCCACTGGATCATATTTTAAGGGATATATCAGGGCATCAGAGCAGCCTTAACAAAGTGTGCTAATATTGTCAATAATAAATATCTTTGAGTACTTGTCTGGGGAAATTTGTGTCAAACTTTTTTTACTCTAAATTGGGACCACTTAATTTTTTAAAATTATGTTTCTCATTTTTTATTTGTTCTAATTAGTTATACATGACATTATAATGCACTTTGACAAGTCATACATAAATGGAGTATGGTTTCTCATTCTTCTGGTTGTACATGATGTAGATTCACACTGGTCATATAGTCATATATACACAGGGTAGTGATGTCCGATTCATTCAACTATTTATCCTACCCCCTATCCATTCCCCTCCCTTCACTTCCCTCTGCCAAATCCACAGTAACTATATTCTTCCCTAGCTCCCCAACCCTTATTGTAAATTAGCATCCACATATCAGAGAAAACATTTGGCCTTTAGTTTTGGGGGGATTGGCTTAGTTTGCTTATCATGATATTCTTCAGCTCCATGCATTTACCCGCAAATGCCATAATTTCATTGTTCTGTAAGGCTGAGTAATATTCCATTGTGTATATATACTGCATTTTCTTTATCATTCATCTGTTGAAGGACACCTAAGTTTTAAACATTGATATGGATGTGTCACTGTAGTATTCTGATTTTAAGTCCTTTGGGTATAAACCAAGGAGTGGGGTAGCTGGGTCAATTGGTGGTTCCATTCCAAGTTCTCTTAAGAATCTCCATACTGCTTTCCATAATGGTTGCACCAATTTGCAGTCCCACTAGCAATGTATGAGTTTATCTTCCCCACCCCACCCCCACATCCTAGCCAACATTTATTGTTGCTTGTATTTTTGATAATTGCCACTCTGACTGAAGTGAGGTGAAATATGAAGAGTAGTTTTGATTTGCATTTCATCTTTGCTAGAGATGTTGAGCATTTTTTCACAAATTTATTGATTGATTGTATTTCTTCTTCTTTGAAGTGTCTGTTCAGTTCCTTAGCCCATTTACTGTTTGGGTTATTTGCTTTTTGGTTTTAAGTTTTTTGAGTTCTTTAAATATCCTGGAGATTAATGCTCTATCTGAGGTGCATGTGGTAAAGATTAATACATACCCAGGAATTACATACGTATATCCACTGAAAAACCTACAGAATTTTAGACATGTCTGTTAAAGCTTTTTTGGTATTAACAACAATAGTTTCTCTTTGGCTTGGAAACCTGGTCTGTGTCCTTGTGGTTCCCCTGAATGGAGGCAAGGATATGCAAGCTCCAATATATACCTCCAGATAAGAGGTATATAGGAAAAAAATAGATTTAGATTAAATTGATTATTTTTGTGTTAATTGAAAGAATTTTAAATTATTTTTAAGAATAGTATTTAGATTTATAATTACTGTCATTTTAAGAGTAGTATTTATATTTGTAATATTGCCAATTAAGTATTACTTTGCCAATATTCATTGCAGCAGTAAGATTTTGTGGTCTTAGATTTTTATTTAAATGAGAAGCTATTGTGTAGAATGGCATTTATACTATTAAAATTTTCAAAGATTTATTTTTTAGAATTGGTACAAATCCCTTGTAGAACACCTTTTTCCTGATTATAAGAATAATATAAATTTATTGTAGAGAATGGAAAAATAAAAATTACAAAGACTCAAATTAAAACTATTCACAGCTCCACAGAGTAAACATTGCAATATTTTAATTTAGACAATGCCAGTTTTTTATATATAATAACCAAATGGATATAATGCTCAATGGATTAATTTATGCTATAGATAGATGTCTCATCAGCAAAATATTTGAGTGGTAAATATTGTTGACTTCTTCCTTTCCAGTTGACCTCAAATATACATTATGAGATTACCAAAGATGCAAGAGATGATGAATGACATTGTGCTCCCTTTTCTTTGATATACTATCCTTCCAATTGCAAAATAAATTCCACAGATAATTCTGTGAGAGGATATGTTCATGACTGATCATCCACCTAATCCCCTGATCATCAACAAGGACTGATTCAGCATCCATTAAGTCCAAGGCACATTGTTAGAAGCTAACAACTCCCAACCTCAACAATTCACAATCTGTTTGAATAAATAGGACATATGCATATAAACATAAATAACAATATAAAATGGCTTAGAGTAAGACTAAGTGTGAGTGGTGCAAACAACTCTCATGTCAAGATTTCAGAGGAGGGAGTAATTACTGCTGTCACATTTACATCATGAAATTATATATATACCGCTGGTCATGATATCTTATTCTTTAAAGGCTGATTGTATCAGAACTTTAGCATATTAAGGATATGAATACCATCACTTGTTATGCAAAGTGATATCAGCTTTAATGATCTCAAAGCACATAATAAACATTCTCCAAATGCAGCTTCCTTCCACTGCCATAAAATAATTTTGCAAATGAGGAAAACAAGAATGCCATTGTATCAAATTGGCATCATTTAAATGACAGAATTAAGAAATTACAAAGATACTGATTTTAAGTTCATGAGTTCTCAACAAACAGTGTATACAGTTAAGGACTGTGTGTATGTATATGGGAAAAGGCCATGATGATTTGGTTTCAGTTGTGTGATTTGGAATATTGACTTTAGACAAAGTTGTTCATTCCTTGCTGTTATGGTAAAGACAGCAGAATTTTTGAAAATCACCTAACATCCCTATTCTGACATTTTTCTTTCTTTTCTTTTTCCAAAACAACCATTCCCTTGCTATGGAAAAAAAAAAGCATCAGGCAGAATTGAGGCATCTAAATAAAAAAGTATTCAAATCCTAAAAAAGGACTAAAACAATCCTATATTTGAACAAATATTTTTCATAATTTTCTTAGAATCAGTCTGTGACTGAGAATCTAAGAAGTTATTCCATCCTAATGAAACTGAAACTGTATGTAGGAAATATATAATAAAATTTACCAAATGTCCAAAGAGTCCTAAAACATGTTAGATGATATGGCTACAATGGTTTTAGAAATAAGTGGATAAGGGGAATGGAATTTAATTATTATTATATTTGGAGATACTTTGGACTTCATGATGAAATCATTACATTTGTATTAAATTAAGTAGAAATAAAAAGTTATATCAAAATATAATTACTTTATTTGATGTGAATATGAGTTATTTTTATGTTATTAATTTTGGCCATATCTTTATTTAATACTCACAGCATAAAATATGGATATATATTTTGGCTACATTATAATGAGATATTAAAACATAAAATCAAACAATAATGCTTAAAAAACCCAGATTCACATTGTTTTCATCTTGCATCACTCCACATTTGATATATCTTATAAAATGAAGATGTTCATGGTTATATTAATAGTTATCTTACTTGTTTCCAAAGGTGTTTATGGCCGCCATAGGAATTACATTATCAGGCTGCATTGCTATCTAAAATTTACAGCCTGCTTAAATAACTTCTAACATTTTTTTAAATTTCAGAGCAAAGTTAACATAAAGCTGGCTTGAAGTAAAAGGTCTTCATTTTGTCTTTCCAAAAATGTTATTTGTTAAAGCATTTTGTGAGAAAGTAACTGCCTTGTGTTCCCAATGTTGCTAGATGTTAAATAAATATATACTGATTATCAAAAAAAAAAAAGTTGTTTTGGCAACTCCTTATTAAAATGCATTTGTAACCCCCATCTGTCATGAAAGTTTTGAAAAGTTTGTTTACTTTGGATAGCAGCCTTATCCAGGGTTACCCCAGCAAACAATGATAGCAGTCTTCAGAAGTTGTGTGAGGAACAAGCCACTAGGGACCCATTTTTGTTTTAATTGGCACACACAAACACTTCTCTGGTCTGTCAAGAAGATCAAGCTAATATGCATGGAGGGTGTTATATTCTCAGCTTTGGGGAGCAGTAAAGCTCCCTTTATTTAAGTAATTTAAATGATAGACTGCAAAAACTTTGCAAGTCAGAAAAATGTTTTATATTTTCTTAGGGAATATTTGTTTTAAGCAACGGAAAATGTTCTACATATCTAAAGATGTTGAACCTTATGTTATAATTACCCTGTTTCTTCTGACTCTGTGAAATGTTCCTAAATCCACATGCTACTAAATAAGCTGGGCCACCAATGGATCCTGCATTTCCACAACTCCCCCTGTGTTAACAAATGTGCGTTCATTAGTTTCCAGATGTTTATTGGATGTTTTCAATGTGTTTGGGTTGATTGATTTGCATGTACATTTATTGGAAACCTCAGTGGTGTCATCATATCAACATAACCTGCCCATGTAAGCAATTTCTTATTTAATGGAAAGTAAACAAATGTTGAGCTATGTACACGACAGATCTCAAGAGCATTCTGAAATATAAGGTTTAGGGCCAACCTTTAAAAAAAACCATGGTTTTTAATTGAAATTGAGCTGTACCTTTGACATCCAAATAATTTGGTTCATGCATTCTTACTTCAGAGATTTATTCTGCATAATAAAATTTGGGCCTATAATGAACATTTACACCCCATGCCATTTGCCGATTCTACCTTTCTGTTTATTAATGAAATGTCTACACTCAAATTTTTTTTCAGATGAACAAGCAAACAAAAACTTGTGTTCATTCTTTTATCTGTGCTAAAATATTTTAAGTACTGAGAAAGAGTCTTCTCAATATTCATGAAAGAATACTATCCAAGTAATTAGTAGATAGTTTAACAGTTTCCACAGTTTTGCAGGCAGCTACACCCAAACTTTTGCCTGTGGTGCTCATATGAAAAGTGACTGAAAAAGTGACTAATCTAAGCAGTTGTTGTAAAAAGATGTCAGAATAGAGTTTTATGACTCTTAATGTTAATTTTGAAACTTGGGAGGAGCAATTGTCTCCAGATAAATACATCATCTGAGGTCTGTGCCTACTGGTATCCACTGGTCAGATATTCCTGCTGCCACTTCTATCCTGAACTTTAGTCACTGTGCTCAATTACTCATCTAGTTAGATGAAATTTGGGCATATGCTACCTCCATCCTTATCAAATTGAAATGATATTATTATTATCATTATTTAAATAAGTCTAATTTGAGGATTTTTTTAAAATTCAAAAGTCTTAATATAAATGCAGAATCCCTTTTTCCCCATGATATACTGAACTGTTGTCTCTCTTTCCATACCTTTTGGATACATTAATAAACATTGTGTATATGTTTATATTTTAATGAAAAATATAATGTATACTTTATGGTATGGATCTGGAATGTCCCTCTAAGTCTCAAATGTCTAAAGCTTGGCTGTCCCCAGTATAGCAATGTTGAGAAGTGGGACTTTTAGGTAATGATTGGATCATGAAGGCTCTATCATCAATTAATTCATTAATTTGGTGGATTAATGAAAATTACAGGCAGATGGGGCATGGGTTGGAGACAGTAGATCATTGGGGGCTTAACTTTGAAGACTATATCTTGTCCCTGGTCCCTTCCTCTATTTCCAGTACCAGGCTTCTATGAGCTGGGCAATGCTCTTCTGCCATGCCCTTCCACCATGAGGTTTTGCCTCACCTTATGTTCAAGCAATGGAGTGGCAAATGTGAACTGAATTCTCTGAAATCTTGAGCCAAAAATAAATCTTTCTTCCTCTAAGCTGTTCTTATTGGATATTTTGGTCATAGCAACAAAAAGGTAACACAACACTTATGAAATCTTTTCTGAATTTAACTATTTAAATACATCATCACCCACAAGGATTTAGTTAAAATGCCCTTTGCTTTTTCCACTGTCCCATCCATGTTGTCTTTTCTATTCCATACTCTATATTGCAGCCAAAATGATCTCTCTGAAATTTGGAACTGATCATCCAATTCCTCTGCTTGATATCATTCTGAGGTTCCCCACAGCTGTTGCAGTGAAGTGCAAACTCTTTAATTAGGCCTGCCAGACCCTGTGTGCTCTGGCACCTACCTGCTCTGCAGTTCCCCTGTTCCATATTTCCCTCAACATCTCTAAAATCCAGTCATACTGAAAATATTTTTGTTCCCCAGCTGTCCTATACTAATTTTCATTTCTTTCCTTAGAGCGCATCATTTCTGCTGCCTAGAACCCTCTGGCTTCCTCTATTAAATCATTTAAATAAAGTTAGATGTCACCTTTTCAGTAAAGGCTTCTGTGAAATAGATGTCACTCCCAAAATGCCCTCATGCTATCCTACTTCCCTTTGTCACAGCACAAATTGGTCTACATTGCAATGCACTGTTGATTTTTCCATTCCCCTACTATGCTAAAGTAACCTTAAGGCCAATGGTATTTGTCTGCTATTGATGAATAACCCACACATAGGAACACTAAGAAAATTGTAAATACATAAACCTTACCTATCTTATTCATTTAGTGAATGCATACCATTCTCTTGCTTGATATGGCATAATACATTTAACTAATTTTCTATTATAATAAAAATTTGAAGGCTGAAATACAATTTCATTCTTTCATGTAATGTAGCTAATATATTTTTTGACATCTATTGATCATAATTCATCAGAGTAGAATAGGCAAACAATTGTGAAGATTGAGTACAGTCACCTGAAGACTGTATTTTTCCATGTATCAACAAGACCTGGACTTCAGAAAACAGGATTACAAACTTGAAGGGGCCAGGAGAAACCAAGAGTTGTCTGTATTTCAATGCATGTCCATAGAATATAATGTTCTTGATTATACTCCAAAGCCACCGATGTGTTATGTTGTGATAATATATCACCCTATATTTGGAACTTTCTACTTGAGAATTGACAGTATGGACGATTGATCACAGATTCAAAATTTTAAAGAGTTAATATCTGAGTTAATGGTAGAACTTTATTTAGAGACCTTCAATGGACAAAGGTGTTTACTGCTGATCTGTGAATGTTGCAGTCATTAATTTTACTCAAGAACTGATAATACTAATAAACAAACTATGTAGGAAAGTGTCAGTAGTTATGTTACTAATATTTTTTTTAGATAGCTAATTTTTAAAATACAGTGACTTAAGCAGAAGAAAGAAATGTTGCCACTAGATTATTAATCACACAAGTCTTTCTATTAATAAGTGCTGAGGTTGCACAATAAGAATAAAAGATGTTGCAATATGTAAGTACATCTATGCTATTGTAACATATTTGGCAATGGTTTTGAGTGTTTATAAAACATTCAAGAATTGTTCCATGTCTACTTACATTAATGAGAACACCTGTTAGCTTTAGTGCCATACAGACTTATTTGCATCAGATTCAGGTTTTTGCATACTGTACATCATTTTCCGAAACAATTAGATGCTTATAGAGAAATACAGCTAAGGGAAAAACAGCAGCTTGAATGCCTTCCGGCTCAAGATAGTTCGACTCCAGGTTTCAGAGAAAAGCAGAAATCTGCTGAATTACAATACTGCCACTTCGGAGTGAATGTAGGTGTATTTTATAATTTTTATATTCAGAGAACAGAAGATACATATAAAAATCTGTGCTTTAATCTTCAAGTAAAATTATAGCCAAAGGAGACAGTTTCCAAACAAGGATGCCAAGGAGTAAAGAATGGCAGTGCCACCAGAATACCACCCAGAAGGTATAGTTTCTGAGAACTTTAGCACCTCCTACCAAATGTATGTCTCTTGACCAGTCTCAGAAAGCTGGAAAACTACATCAGGACTTCTGACTGAAGGAGGAAATCTACAAGGGCTAGCCTACCTTCTATTGTTGCCAACCCTTTGCCATGGAGCCCTCGGGTTGTGATGACAGAGCTAGAAGGAGGTAAGAAGCTGTCAGTCACTTCCAGGCTACTGGTCACAATGTAGCTGGAACACACCAACATAGAATGCACTGTCATTTCCTGACAAGAGCTGATGAGTGTTTTATTCATTAATGAGAAAATAGTCACAACTTCTGTAGGTCCTACTCTGTTGACATATCTGTCTGCCACTCCCCATAGGATGTTAAAGCTTCTGTGATTTAAATATTTTCAGTTATTGAAAAGAGAGTACTTGTGCAAATCTGTGGATTCACAGCCTCTATTATCATCATTATATTTAAGAGGTGCAATATTTACATCAAAATGACTCAGTTGGTGATATATTCTAAAGATAAATGCATATTTATGATGGGAAGAAGTGTGATTTATAACTCTTTTCTGAGACAAACAGAGCACCTCTGTGCTGTGCTAGTAAACACAGATTAGCCAAGGCACATAAAAACTACTCCCACAGGGCTCATGCTATTTTGTCCTGGGAAATGAGGGAACTGGAAATGGTCCTTGCAGAGTGTGTGGGTCACAAAAAAGAAGGGTATTTAGTTCCTTCCCTGCTGCCTAACTGCAGGATCTTAACAGAGAAGAAGTATTAGATGGGGACTTAGGGATCAACTCCTGAATTTGTATTGTCTAGAATCCAAACCACATAATCAGAAGTAAATGTAAAACTGTACTATTGATTTCTGATAATTTTGAAATTGTATTTAATCAAGTTTAATAATCTATATTTTTCTTTACTCTTTATTTGACCATTGTTCATTAAGGATGATAGATTAACTCTTTCCATTAAATAAATGAAAATGTTGAAATTTTTTCCCTGAAAATATACAAAAATTATAATTCCAACTGTTGGGAAAATCCCCTTACTCTTTACTCAAAATGGTTGCCCTTAAAACAAATATGAAAAAGTACTTAACATTTCTAAAATGCTGGATTAGAAGTATATAATACATATGATACTTTTCATATATAGTGGCATATAAAGTTTAACACACACACACACACACACACACACTTGGAAAAATAGGAGGGAATTTAATAGTTCTTTAAAAAACTAAGCCCCTGTGACTATATAATAAATGATGACATCTGTCAATTGAGCAACAGGCCACCACCTAATAATGAAGACATCTGGAATGACACATCACTCCATATTAAGCATGTGCCAAAACACCTTAACATGCCTTACTCCCCAAGAAAAAATGATGCCTATTTTGGAAATACTATCATTTAAAAATATTAGACATAAAAAATACATGTTGATTATACTATCAATAGGGTGACCATATATAATTTACTGTCCAAATGGTATCAGTTTTGCTAGCAAAAAGGCACTATTAATAACTACACTGGAACAATAGGTGTGAACCAGGTCTATTTTGCATATATTGGAACCTATGAATCACTCTTTTGCACACAACACTGGGGAGTCATTCAACAACCACTGATCTTTACATGATAGTGAATACCTACCATGGGTCCAATTCTAGAACTGTGAGATATACCAGAAAAAGTTATCAGTGACCCTTGCTCTTAAGAAGCTTATAATTAGTGTGACATATAAGACCAGAGTGGGAAAACAGCTAGAAAATAACAATTGAATCATGATCAAGATGGGACATGTAATAGATTTTATGGAACAAACCTGTTTTGGCGGGGGATAGAAGAGAATGCTCAGGGAAGAATGTTGGAGAAGGATCTTAAAAGATCAGATGATGTTTAGCAGAAGAAAAGGAGGGAGAAGATGATAACACAGATAAGAAAAGCAGCTTGTACAAAGTCTCACAGGTAGGAAAGACTATGACATTTCTAGAGGACATTGAGGAGCTGTTTCTAAGGTCTCTGTGGGCTTGCTTACCTTCTCTCCTCGCAAATGGAGGTGTTTCTCAGCATTCTTTCCTAAAATATGACTCTTTGTACTTCAAGTTGCGTTCTTAAGTGACGATATGACTCCTGTTGTTTTCTTTTTAATAATAGATTTATAAACTGATAAATCCCTAATTTGTGTCTCCTCCTCTATTCCATTTCAGGCCACCACGACTTCTCATCTGATCTCCTTATGGCTGGTTGGTATTGATACAATCCATTCTTTATATCCACTCCTTAGTAAACTCCTAATTTGAAACCTCATAATTTTGTCTTTGGCATTTTCATTTCTTCCACTTATTAACTGTGTATCTTTAAGAAAGTTATTTAGAACCTTTGAGTTTTAATATTCTCACCTATAATCTGAGAAAAACAATAGTACCTACTTCAGAAGAAAATTGCAAGGGCGATATGAAAGATAATCCAGGAGAAGAACAGCACAGTATCTGGCACCTAGTGAACATTTAAATTATTGTTTTAATTATTTGACTGATTGATGATTCATTGACAACCACATGGATTTTGCAAGAACCTTCTCCTATTTCAGGAAACTACTCAGACATCATCTATTCAGGAAAGTCTTTAAACTCTCCAGAAGTCTAAATATGTGATGTCCCCTCCAGAAATCTGAACTTATTTTTCACTGGTGTACATGTCACTATTGTATTTTTCTAACTTCTCACCCAACTCTCCCTGCACTGTAAGCTCCCTGATGAAAAAGACCCTGTGTTCTGTGCTTGGCTGACCACCTGTAACACTACAGGCTCTCAATAAAGGATTATAGATTGAAAGATAGCTCAGTTGGCTTAGGTTAATACTACAGAGTTATGGTATCCAGTAAACAAAAAGACCCTGAAATTTGAAAGCAAGTTTTATTTGGTAATGACTGATCCCTGAGCATACCTATGAGCAGAACCGCACAACAGTGTCAGAGGAGGGCAAACATCCTCTTATAGCTGACTCTGCATTGTAACTTCACTCTGCATTGTAACTTCAACTATGGTCAACATGGCACTGTCCTCTGAGGTTGCACCAAAGCATCTATCTGAAAAGATGACACTATTTCCCTCTGACAGAGAATGCCTATTTAGGGTATCCTGAGCTTTCTAGGGTTCATTTTGCCCCTCTTTTCATATAGCTTTGGAAACTTGCTTCTTGGTCTTCAATTATAGATGTCAGGCTTTTCATTTGAATGGAGACATTTTACTCATACCAAGGTGACTTTACATGATCTCAGGCCCTAGAAGTTGCAAATGCACTGGTCATCCATATCCTGTCTTCACCAAAGCTCACATTTGAAACTGTGTTCTCTTCTGGTTCCTGGACTAGACAAGTACAATTTCTGTTGTCTTATCTAGTATATCAGACACTTTCAGCTAACAGTGGTGTTTATTTTTTAACTTTACTCATGTATTTATCTCAATGTACTTTAAAAATTATCAATTCAATATATAGTCATTCTAAAAATTATTAATGAGATATTTTATATTTTTGAAGTTTCCAAAATGTGATATTTTAAACTTACAACACATTTCAGCTTAGCTTAGCTATATTTCCTTTTAAAATTATAATTATTGAATATTAATTATACAACTTAATGGGTTTCACTGTGACATTTCCATACATGCAAATACTATGCTTTCATCATGTCCACCCTCCCTTCTATTCTTTCGCTTTCCCTACTCCCCTCCCCTCTGGTCCTCTTCCTAATCCTAAACGTGTTATATTTATTTTTCTGTGTCTGTATAATTTGTTTGACATAATGTTTCTAGTTCAATCCGTGTACCTACAAATGAAATGATCTCATTCTTCTTTATGGCTGAATAATACTCCATTATTTATATATATAGCTTATTTTCTTTGTTGACAGTCACTTAGGCTGATTACATGTTTTGTCTACTATGAACAGTGCTATAATAAATACTGATATACAGATACCTCTTTTGCACACAGACTTAATTTCTTTTGGATAAATACGGAGGAGTGGTAGTACCAGATCACATGGTAGTTTTATTTAGCTTTTGAGGAACCTCCATACTATTTTCCATAGTGTCTATACTAATTTACATTTCTACTAAGAGTTTATAAGCATTCCTTCCTTTCCACATTTTCAGTAGGCTTTATTACTATTATTATTTTTAATGTTATTTTTAATAATATTCTTTTATTATTTTTAACATTATTTTTAGTGTTCATTGTCAATACAAGATTCTTGGCAGGAACATATCTCAACATTGTAAAGGCTATCTATGCTAAGCCTCAGGCCAACATCATTCTAAATGGAGCAAATTAAAGGCATTTCCGCTAAAAACTGGAACAAGACAGGGATGCCCTCTTTCACCACTTCTATTCAACATAGTTCTTGAAACACTGGCTAGAGAAATTAGACAGATGAAAGAAATTAAAGGGATATGTATAGAAAAAGACGAACTTAAATTAGCACTATTTGCTGATGATATGATTCTATCATATCGTCATATGAAAAGGCTCATCAGAAAAATTCTAGAACTAGTAAATGAATTCAGCAAAGTAGCAGGATGTAAAATCAACACCCATAAATCAAAGGCATTTCTGCATATCAGTGACAAATCCTCTGAGAAGGAAATGAGGAAAACTACCCCATTTACAATAACCTCAAAAAAAAAAAAAAATAAGATACTTGGGAATCAACTTAATGAAAGAGGTGAAAGATCTATACAATGAAAACTACAGAACCCTAAAGAAAGAAATCAAAGAAGACCTTAGAAGATGGAAAGATCTACCTGGCTCTTGGATAGGCAGAATTAATATTATCAAAATGAGCATACTACCAAAAGCACTATACAGATTTAATGCAATTCTGATAAAAATTCCAATGGCATTAGTCATAGAAATAGAAAAAGCAATCATGAAATTCATCTGGAAAAATAGGAGACCCAGAATAGCAAAAGAAATCCTTAGCAGGAAGAGTAAAGCATAATAAAGTATAGAGTAAAGTATAGTGATGCCATTATACCAGACCTTAAATTATACAACAGAGCAATAGTAACAAAAACAGCATGGTATTGACACTAAAACAGATTGGTAGACCAGTGGTACAGAATATAGGACACAGAGACTAACCCACAAAATTACAATTATCTTACATTAGACAAACATGTCAAAAACATGCATTGGAGAAAAGATAGCATCTTCAACAAATGGTGCTGGGAAAACTGGAAATCCATATGCAAGAAAATGAAATTAAACCCCCATATCTCACCATGCACAAAACTCAGCTCAAAGTGGATCAAGGACCTAGGAATTAAACCAGAGACTCTGCATCTAACAGAAGAAAAAGTAGTCCCTAATCTTGTAGGATTAGGCCCCAACTTCCTTAATAAGACTTCTATAGTGCAAGAATTAAAACCAAAAATCAATAAATGGAATGGAATCAAACTAAAAAGTTTCTTCTCAGCAAAAGAAACAATCTATGAGGTGAACAGAGGGCCTACATTCTGGGAGCAAAGTTTTAGCCCTCACACATCAGATAATCTCTAGGATATATAAAGAACTCAAAAAGCTAAGCACCAAAAAAAACAAATAACTGAATCAACAAATGGACCAAGGACCTGAACAGGTACTTCTCAGAAGAGGTTATACAATCAGTCAACAAATATATGAAAAAATGTTCATCATCTCTAGCAATTAGAGAAATACAAATCAAAACTACTCTAAAATATCATCTCACTCCAGTCAGAATGGCAGCTATTATGAAGACAAACAACAATAAGTGTTGACAAGGACTTGGGGAAAATGGTACACTCATACATTGCTGGTGGGACTATAAATTGGTGCAGTCAACATGTAAAGCAGTATGGAGATTCCTTAGAAATCTGGGAATGGAACCACCATTTGACCCATCTATCCCTCTCCCCGGTTTACACCCCAAAGACTTAAAAACAGCATACTACACAGACACAGCCATATCAATGTTATAGCAGCACAGTTCACAATAGCTGAACTGTGGAGCCAACCTAGATACCCTTAAGTGGATAAGTGAATAAAAAAAATGTGGCATATATACACAATGGAATTTTACTCAACAATAAAAGAGAATAAAACCATGGAATTTGCAGTAAATGGATGGCGTTGGAGAAGATAATGCTAAGTGTAGTTAGCCAATCCCCAAAAAACAAATGCCAATGTTTTCTCTGATGTAAGGAGGCTGACTGATAATGGGTAGGGAGGGAGAGCATAGAAGGAATAGATGAATTCTAGGTAGGGCAGAGGGGTGGGAGGGGAAGGGAGGAGGCAGGGGATTAGTAAGGATGATGGAATATGATGGACATCATTACCAAAGTACATGTATGAAGACACGAATTGATGTCAACATACTTTATATACAACCAGAGATATGAAAAATTGTGCTGTATACATGTAATAAGAGTTGTAATGCATTCTGCTGTCATTTAATTTTTTTAAAAAATCAATAATAAATAAATATGTTTTGGCATGACAAGAACTAGTGAATCCCTATGAAGCTACATGCAGCCATTTGCCTTAATTTTAACTACTATATGGTGAGCAGAAGTACACAACATTCTTCTCACATTATTTAAAAATAAAATTATTTTTCTTAAACAACAACAACAACAACAACAACAAGAAAACCCATTATTTTTAATAACAGTCATTCTGTCTGAGGTATAATGAACTTCTAATGTAATTTTGATTTGCATTTCTCTAATAGCTAAAGATTGTGAGAGTTTTTTTCAGGTATTTATTGGTCATTTGTACTTTTTGGGGAATTATTTTTCAGATAATTTGCCTTTTTCTATTGGGAGTACTAGTTCCTTTGTTTTAAAAATCTTTGTGCCTTTCTTTTTTTGAGTATAAAGATTGATTGAGGGACCATCTATCACTGAGCTACAACCTCAGACTGTTCTAGATTTTTTATTTTTAATCAAGGTCTTGCTAAATTGCAGAGGCTGGCCTTGAACCTGTAATCCTCCAGTTTTAGCCTCCCAAGTAGCTGGGATTACAGGTGTGTGCCACTGTACCTGGGTTTGAATTCTTACATATTCTGGATATTAATCCTCTGTCAGATGAGTAGCTGATAAAGATTTTCTCCCATTTTACAGTTGTCTGTTCATTTGTTGATTGTTTCCTTTGCTGTGTAGAAGCTTTTTAACTTGATACAATCCCATTTGTCAATTCTTGCTTTATTCTCCTAGGCTAC